GGTAATGATTTTTAAAAAACCAAACAGCTTCCTAGATCAGGTAGCCAAAGAAAGACTGGAAGATGGGTATGTTTGTGTGTCTACTACTTTTCTTTTGAAATTGAACTCATGCTTGCTTGTCTCTAATCATACATTACATTGTTTATCCCAAAGATGACATTCATAAAACCACCCATGTTGGCACACAGCAACTCCTTAAAAGATGGTCTATTTAAAGTATATGGTATAATTTATTAATTTGGACATTCATGTTCAGTTTCTAAAAATAAAAATTTGTATTTATTGAGAACACTGAATGTGGATTAAATTAAATTATTGTTTAATGTACTGTAGATTCCAACTTGTATCCTGCATGTATTTATTCAACAGTAATTCAGTAATGTTTACTTTCATGAAAAAAATGAAGAATCTGTACAAAGAATACAGTTTTCAGATTAATATTTAAAACTTAGAGTTTACCTCTTACAACTTTATCTGGAAGAGTATACTGTCTGCAATAACATAGAAGAGTAAGTAAACTGTTTCATGCATTGAAAACTAATGTTCCATAGCCTTCCAAAGTACAAGAATGTAATTTCAAAACATGTATCAGTGAAATCTTAATCAAGGGTTTATATCTCCCAGTCTTGTCTTCCACCCAGGTATAATATATGAATAATAATACAATTTTGGATTATAATAGTTGCTGTTATAAAGGCTTTTTTAACATTTAGGAGATAATACTATGTCCTTGATGATTTTTTTTTTACATATTTCATAAGCTAGGCCCACTCTTCTGGTCATTAACTGAAGTGAATTTGAGAACATGAGGACCTAGATTGTTGGGGGCAATATGCTGACTCTGTAAAAACCTCTTAGAGAGGGCTGTAAAGCACTATAAAGTGATATATAAGTCTAAGTGCTATATTAGAAGACACATCAATATTTATCATGCAGGAGAAATGCCAGACTAATTAATTAAAGCCCTATTTTTCTAGGATATGAGACTGCCAGAAGACTCTCAAGAATAAGATTATTAACTTGATTGCTTTCTTTAAAGATGGTAGTACTGAAAAAGCAATAAATGCAAGTAAATATTACAGTATTGCAGCCAGAATTAATTTTGAATATATTTTACTAGGATTAAGGCAAATCTTCAATCCCCAGGAATCAACTACCATATACTGCTTATTTTTTAATACTATAAAAATAATACATTCTGTAATAAAATTCACATCCTATAGTACATTGCTTTAATTACCAATTGACATTAGCATTAGGAGGCGCATAAATGTGCATTTAGAGTAAAAAAAAAGTTGAACCAAAATTCATTTGAATTTTGCAATCTAATAATATAAATACCCTTTTATTCAATGATTAAATGTGCCTAAATATGCCTGCAACATTGAGAAAAAATGTATGTGACAAGCCTTATCTTATTATTTTGTCAAAAATCAAAGTTATTGTGTTGGGGAAGTAATTCACCTTCACGTGGAAGGGAATTTCAGTTCATCCAAATACAGCTGTGGATAGAAAATAAATAAACATAAATAATTAAATGGTAAGAAAAGTAGCAAATATAATTTTCTCCTAAAGCTGCTCCTAATGAAGGGAAACATAACTGAAATGATTAGGAATTCATGGAAAATCTTGTCAGAATTACTTTTTTAGTACAGTTTATTTCCGTTTTAAAAACTGTGATGTCTTGACTCCAAACAGATGCTAATGGACAGCAGTTTGATAGGTAGGAAACAGATTAGTTCATTATGGTAAGTCACTGGGCTCAACCCATATATGAAGAGGATTTTAGAAAATTATTTTCTTCAATCATTAGAAAGAAAAGGTAACTTCCTCAATACATGGTAGGAAAAAATAAAAAAATGGATGGAGAAATGACAAAATTTTATTGCTGTTTTAAGTACAAACTATTCCAGTTCAAAATGATAATTAGGACAGGAATAGATGTTGCTCTCAGTTTTAGATGAAATGCCATCAGTTTCTGCTCTATTTATAGGCTTTTCATGAAGATAAGTTATATAATATGAAGTACTTAGAAAAATGAGAAATGGTTGTTTGATGGTAATTAAAGTAGCATTTTTCACTCTCCTAGAAGTTATCAGAAATAGAAAAAAATCCTGATATTAATAGCAGCCTTCAAGTAGTATAGGCAGCCGCAGATGGAAATAAGAGCAGACTGAATGCCTTCCAAAATAAGCAATTCAATCCCACTACAGTTCCACTGGTGAAGTATATTCTAGATACATGTTAACAAAAGTACAAAACAGGAATTAAACTACCACTTGATTTTGAAACATTTTCCTTTCAGAGACATTTTTCAATGGGAAACCTCTGCCTTTATTATAATGATACATTAATACTACTACCTCACTTTCAAAAAAAATGACAACACATGAAACAGTGTCTCTACCTCTGCTAGATGTAGGTTTTCACTAATAATTTTTCTTCTGGTGCCACCGTTGTCAGTACACTGAGATTCCATATGTTTCCTTTCCATAACATTCCTTAATTGGTATTTATGGGGGAATGGATAAAAAAACTAAGGGTTTACAGCACATTATGATCCAAACAGGAGAATAAATGTGTGGGGATTTTAGTACACAACCCATAGCATCAATGATGCCTCAAGAGGACTTCCATCTATTCACATCAGAGTTCATATTGAGAGACTGTGTCATGAGATATTATTTCATTCTTCTTTGCACCTTTTCAACCTATCACAAACTATTTCCTGGAAAGTATGTATTTCACTTCTTTCTATGATAACAAATTGTCCCAACATACATAGCCATCATGTTATTGCATTTTGGGGTAATCAATGTTACACAAAGCACAGAAAAGGAATATGAAATTGTAAGTGAAGGAAATTGATATTTTAAAAAAGGAAAAATAACTCAAGCTACAATGCCATTCGCTATTCCTTTCCATGTCTTTTCACCCTTGCAAACCACCCTTGTTTCCTTTTATCTATGCCTTGATTCTCACACTGCCTTTAAACTTTAATCCCTTTTGAAGTGCTAACTCCAACTATAACTCTGTCATTTTCCCCATTCTCTCTGCCCATTCATTCTTTTAGTATACAGTTTGTTCAATCTTCAATCATTCTTTCTAAATGACAGTTGGTCACTCATCTTTGTCTTCATCCTCATTTTAATTATCACCATTCATTCTTGATCACATATATTTGTGTTTTATTGTACACTTTCTTAAGCAACTTATACCTACTGTATTCAACCTAGTTCTCTGTGTCTTCAGACATGCCCTACTTATTAATCACAGAGCTCGTGGTGGCTCACAAAGTAAACAATAATAATACAAAAACAATATAAAAGCAAAAGGCAATTAAACTCCAGACACAACATCTGGCATCAGATCCAGGAAAGTTCTGTCTTTAGCTATTTCCAGGGGGCAGACAATGTTGGAGACTGTCATTAACAACTATTTTCACCTCTTTCAATTAATAGCCATTCCTCACAACAGACCACATACTATCCATTTCCTTAGTATCAACATTTGCATCTCTTAATATTTCTTTGTGAATTTTACCCTCTTTAGCAAACATTCTATAAGGTATAAAGATTTTTTATCATTTATATAGGCAATTGTGAATTCCATTTTCTCTGCCAGCCACAACTATACAGTACAGATTGGCTTTTAGTACCTTAATTTTCACATTTCTACTCCTTATCTGCATTTGGATTAGTCACCCCAGTAAGACAGAATTATCTGCATATAAAATATGCATTCATATCCCAACTTCCACATTTTTAATGTCTCCAAAAATGCCCTTATTTATTTTTCATATCTATTTTAAATCTATCAAATAAATTCTGGTAGATTAGAAATGCTAAATATGCAGTTATGTTATCTAACGTAATATGAAAGGTACTGAAGGAAAATTCTAATGAGGAGTTAACATATATTGGTAATGAGCCTAGAATGCCAACTTTGTAATTCTCATTGGTTACTCTTTCTTTCAAGTTACACTTTAATTGCATGCTTATAAAAAGCATAACTTGTAATTTGCCTTTATTAACTGACCTGAATTGATAATAGACCCAGAAATAAACAATCACTTTATTGTCAATAATTCATAATAGCAATTAACTTTAAAAGAATTAATAGGTCATATACTAAATCATAATGAATTTGAAGTTATACATCATCTAGAAATGTTTTTTCTTTGAGAAATGGAATATAAATATTAAAATAAATACATTAATAAAGTGTTTATAACATTCACAATTCTTGTTTGAACCACTATGTCTACCACTAGAAGAACAAGGAAAGATCTAGGTTCTCAACCTTGTCCAGCATGTCCCTGGAATGCCTTTGGATGAGGGACAGAAGAGATGGACCTTGATTCTACAAAATAGCTATTGTGAGGACAGCACTCTCTTCTTATTTGCCTGATGGAGCTAACCCCAGAAATATAAATAACTTTTGTCAATATAACCTTTTCATGCACATGGTTACTGTCTATCTCATCCAGATATTTCCAATATGTTGGAAGCACATTGTTGCGTTTCTTCTATAAAATAAAGCAGCAGTTTTCTTTATATTTCCACTTGTACTCAAGCTTTTTATTATTGACAAGCACTCTGGGACTGGGACTCTGGGAAGTATTAGAGTTGACAATTTCCTATGTCACTCACATGAGGTAAGGGAGAAGTAATACAGGAGTGCCAAATTTCTCAACCTAGGGTAATTTGGTGCAAAAGCAGACAAGCTTTCCCACCCATCCCATAATTTGTGTGAACAGGAATGAACTCAGTCATAGCACCCATATTTCCCACAAACTAGTTTTTATCCCTGCACTTTCCCAATGCCAAAGTTGCCCCCCTTGAAAGAGGTGCTACCAAAGGCCTCCCTCAGGCTGTCTGGCCTTGGCCTCCAGTGACCCGGGCGTTTTTTCGCTTGCTCCTCTCAGAGACTCTGCTAATTCCTCCCCAGGTCCTGCCTTCCTTCCTCTCCCCACTCTGTCCCTGAAGCCTGATTCTCACCGTCCTCGTAGTTCTTGAGGTAGTAATCCGGTCCCGGTCCACCACGGCTCTTGGCTGGGTTCTTCACGTTCTGGAACTGCAAAAAGTCGGTCCTTTTGCCCGCGAAGCGGAGAAAGGCGGGCGCCAGGCCACGCGCCAAGGTCACCAAGCGCCGGGAGCTGCACAGAAAGGGGCTGAATGAGCGAGGACGAAAAGAAGGGAGCGAGGCAAGCACGACTGCGACGGGCTGGGCGCGGCGCCATCGCGGCTCCGGTGCCCGTCAAGAAACGGCTCGCCAAGCCGGAAGCTATCAGCGCAGCTCCGGGAGAGGCCCCAAAAGCCGAGTACACTGGCTTGAATTCCTGCACCAGCTGCTATAGGAAAGCGCCGCAGAGCCAAGCATCCGTTCTCCAACGATTGCCACAGGGACGGCGGCGGTTCTCCGCCGCAGGCGGGCACCAGGAGAGGCACAAGGGCCGGAAGCGCTTCGCCCATGAAGGGCACTTGCTCTTTCCCGACGGAGCGGGCGTTGCCCTTGCTGCCATCTCCTCGGACTCCGCGGAGGTCCCTTTCTCTACCTCCACACACACACACCCCTCCCCACGTGCTTGGGACAACAGGCGGCGCAGCGATTGGCTGTCGGTGGGGAAGCCAGTGTTGTCCTGACCAGCGAAGCAGAAGGACCCGCGTTTCTTTTGGCCAGGCTTTTCCAGCGTTTCTTCGCCACGGCCACTTGTGGCATCGCCTGAGGCTCCTCTCCTGTTTTCTCTTCCCGGATCCAAACCGCCAGAGGAGAAGGGAAGGCTGGGGCCTGGGTACTGCCTTGGGGGCGCCTCACAGGAGGCAATTTGAGACCCCCTGCAGACCTCTAGGGATGACATCCGCCCGAGCAAACCTCCGGAGAGGGGCGGGGGAAAAGACAAGCCGCCAGAATTGTTCAGAACAGCGATACGTTTCCGAGATGCTTTCTCCATTACAAACATGTGCATCTTAATGGGAACCATGGCCCGGCCTCTTCGCCAGGGCTCTGCGGGCCGTGGGAGCCCGGAGGGCGCATGGGTCTCTAACCGCAGTGGGAGCCCCGAGGGTTGGAAGAGCTAAAGAAAACGCGGCGGGTGGAGAGAAACCCCTTACCTGAGGAAGTCCAGCCAGCCGTCGTGGAGGATTGAAGGATCCAGTTGCAGCGAGAGGAAGTTCTCGCTGGTGACACGGAGGGAGCTCCTGGTACTCACGTCCAGGAGGATGAGCGTCCTGCCCGGGGTGCCCTGCGGGCTTGTCCTGGCGGGAAGGCGCTTCACCCCGGCCTGAGAGGGCAGAGAGAGGTGAGCCAACAGCGCCAGTCCAGGGGCCAAAAAGGCCAAGAAGCCAGAAGGGCCAGAGCCGGGGCAGGGCATGCTGGGCCGAGGGGGGCTCCCCAATTAAGTTCCGCGCCGGGCACAGCCAGTCACGGGCAGCTAATTGTCCGGAGTGCAAAGCGTGGGGGCGCGCTGCCTTTTTTCCCTCCCCCTCCTCCCCCCAATGTTTTGGTGCTGGGGGAAGAGGGGAGCTCACGCCCCTGACCAGCCTTCCCCGGGGCCGGTGCCAAGACGCCTTGTTCGCCAGCGCCGCCCCTAGAAGAGTCGCCGCCTGCGGACATTTTCGCGATTCCAAAGGTAAAGGAGAATCGTTCCTAGCTTAACAACTCTCGGCCCGGGATCCCCAAGGGCCCAGGCTGGTGACCTAAAGGATGACGGCTGCAGGCAGCGAATGTTTTTCGCAAAAGGCCTTCCCCCTCTTTGGTTGCTCAAACGAAAGCTATTCAGAAATTGCAAACAATCCTTTTGCTAAGGGTAGTTTTGCCACCGGAGCCTCACCTGGGCGGGTCAAGCAGAGCCCCGAAATAGATTGCATTGTTCAGTCGCAATAGCTCACTCGCAGACGGTGCTGGCAGTTCTACAGAGATCTGGAGCCCGTGTAGAGAGGAAGGCGGGGAGGGGTAGGTCGCTGAGGGGGGGGGGGGGGATGTAATCGAAAGAAAAGCATTAACTTTGGTCTTTGCTTGTTCCCCTGATTCTTACCGCGTTCTTACCGAGAAGTCAGAAAACCAAAAGTGCTGGTGGAAGAGAGCAGAGATAACGAGCAGCAGTTTAAACAGCCACACTGCCTAAGGCTGAGAGAGGAGTCCAGAGCCGGAGGCCTCCGACAAAAAAACGCCGGAGATTCAGGAGAAGCGCTGCCCTGAAAAGTAGAGCTCTGTTCGCGAGGAGGAAAACCGGAACGAGATGGAGTGGTGAGTCAAGCCATCTTCTAGGCCAGGAGGGTAATTTTTTTCCCATATTGGAAAAGCAGCCTTTCCCGAACAACCGAGAAAAGTTCTACGAAAATGCCCATCTTTGTACCCCCTTACCTCTGCTTTCGGCGCAGTCGCCTTCCGCCTTTTCTTGGGAACCTTTCTCTTCGGCTGCTAGAAGAATCAAAGGCAGCACAGAGGTATTTTTCCAGTCGGAGGTGTCGGAACTGAGCTCCCATATCGGGCAGACTGGGGATAAGCGAGGCGGTCAAAAGAATTGGTCCAGTTTTGTCTCGTATACAACCGAAAGAGCAAATAATCGCCACTCCCCTCTTCTTTGGGAGAGATTCACTATGGGGCTTGGGATAACTCCAGTTCAAAACAAGCCTCCAACGGCTCTCTTAGTGGATGATGGTATCCCCTTCCTTTTGACGTGTTGATCTGACTTTTCTGAGTATAAGATCCACGTGGAGCAAAGGAAAATTGCTTCGGAGAAAAACTGCGCGACCGTAATCTGCCATGGAGTGATGAACACGAAATCAGCTCCAGAGAAATGCAGGCCACTCCTTTTCAAAAAAGAAATATTTTCGTTGGAATTAGGTTGCTAGAGCAAGAGCTGGTCTCTCTGAGCCTTGTTTACATGCAGCCTGCTTGTGCCGCGGATGAAACAGCTAGGCAGCCCCCGTAGAGTGGCGAGCAGCTTTTTTTTTTTTTAACCTCTGCGCCGAGACAGCCGGTACTTCAGATCGTCCTTCTATGTTCATTTCCTGCCCACAGCACTTATGGCCTAAAAAGAGGAACTTCAATCCACATCCTTTTGTCAGTATAAACTGACTATACAACACACACGCGTGCGCGCTCGCGCACACATATACAAAAGAAACGCACCTCAAAACGTTAGGGACTGGAGATGAACGGTCAGAATTCTGCAGCTTTTCCAATATCGGATATTGTCTTCAGAAAGTTGTTTTGTGCCGGGGCTGTGTGGGTCCCGGTAATGTCTACCATAAAGTAAAAACTACTGGGTTTAGTAGACTGCAGCTCTGATTTATGGCTCAAGAGACTAGGATTAACCTTCCTTCCTCTCACTGGATACTGAGTTATAGGAAGCGCCTCAGTGAAATGTGAGAGGTGAATCGGTTGCACTTTATGTATATTAAGTCTAAAAATATTCCTACTCACGAATAAGTTTCAGATACCAGGATTTTCCTGAAAGAGTGTTTGGTACACAAGACAATAGCTGATTGTTGAAATCTATATGGACATCAGATCACCCTCCCTGTCCTGTGTATTTTTAATTAAAAAATAAATCTATCCACCCTACTGGAGCTTACTCCTGAATAAATAAGTACTATATAACAAGAATGCGGCCACGGCAATAGATCATAGATCGGCAAACCTTCAGCGATTTTCAGTAGGATTTATCCCATCGCAAACTACAAACAAAACGATTAATTAACAGAGAACTTTTCACGGCTTTTGACAGGGGAAGACACTCTTTATTCTATGCTCCTAATATTTCCAAATGAAATATTGCAATAAATTTTCCTGTAATGGCCATTATAAATACTTTGCTCTTAAGGTTCACTAGGGTGGAGGTGCTGCCAAGGTGTTAAAACATTTCGGGCAGGAAAGGTGCTGTATCTGATGTCTGCTTAGAATCAGGGAGAAGCAGCAAGGGTGAAGGAGTGGGTTATAGTACTAAACTTACCCGGCCCAGACAAATATATTGTCTTCTCGTCAGAAGATGGCTGCTGAGCCCTCAGTTTGGAAGATCACACTGAAAGATGGGGATGATGTTGCTCTTCCTTTATTAATGTAAATCGTTCTCCATTCCTGAAGGTAGCCCAACGGAGTCCTTGAGCCAGTAGCCTCTTTCCTTCTACCCTCCCCCGCACTTTCTTTGACAGTATCCAGATCCAGTAGTAGGAAACTTTAAAACAGTGAGTTGGGTGTGTAACTGCTAGATTCTTCACTGCTACATTGTGGAACATTTATTAAAGCAAATGACCATCTCTCTTCAGATAATTGATCATTCCTTTTTCCAGTACATCTTCCAATTATATTAAAAGGCATCAAGTTTCCAAAATTTCCAGTATTGACATGAAGCATAGTTTACCCAATTATTTAAATATAATGAAACTCTGGTTTTATGCATCTTTCAGTTCTGCAAATTAAGATATCCTAAAATAAACTTGGGGAAGTTGATAGGAAGCATCTATTCTATTTTTTTAAGCTGGATATCTTTTAAGTACAAGATGAGTTATGATAAGATTGGTGAAAGGGTGTAAGCAACCCTTTTCCATTTATTTTAAAGCATTGGTTGTTTCATGAAATCATTTCTCCTTTTTTATACATAGAGATTTAAGTATTTTAAAATGCTTGTCATCACCAAGGATTTCCGATAGTCTTTTATTTCTCTCCAAATTAATATTCTAAATATCCATCTGAAAAATCTGGATGTTTCTTCACTGTGCCATTGACATCTGAAAAGCTATGAGGGTGATACTGTCCTAAAAACCTCTTAATACTACTATTAATAATAATGTATTAAATGTATATGCCACCTGCACCTACCCCAATGATCTTATGCTTATTATCAGATTAAACTCATCCATCTTTAAAGTGTCACAAGGCCTCTGTCATTTTCACCTCCTCCAAAGATCAAAAGTTATTTCTATTGTTTTGATAGCTGCTGGAATCCATTGAACAGCATTTCTAAAGATCTCTTTGAAATGTCTAGCAAGAGCTGGTTTGGAAGCAGCAATTATTGCAACCAACTCAGAAGTGCCACTCTCTGTAGGACTTCTTTCTGCAACCTGAGGAAGAGCTTGAAGATGTTCTACCAGCTAGCAGACTGCAATCCCAACCCATTTACTACAAGGAAGTTCCACCGAAAATATATTTTAGGAGTAGGCTAAAACATTTTCTACCCTTACATGCTTAAATAGTGCATGTGCCCTAATCATAGCACTGCCTTACATTCATGTGAAATAATTATATGGAAATAAATTCCCCTGGTAGTTATGGACTAGCATTTGGACATATCTGTTTTAGAAGACTTCATGTTGTTCTGTGCCTTGACTCCAAGTGAATTACAGTAGCATGCATCCATTCTGTCTTTCAGCTGCTGTTTTCTAGCTTGCCTGCCTTTACAGGAAGGACATCCATCTTCCCTCAATTTGATACAGGTCTGAAGTGAGTTTTTTACTACTCAGATCTGCTTAATTCCAGGTGGTTTTTTTTTTTTCACTGTTGAAGAACGCTGAAAAGAATATTACTCGCCCACTGCATTTTTGGGGAGCTGGTTTACCATTTTCAATTTGTCTCAATGAGAAAGTGAACTAATGAGCTGGTTTAAGTACCCAGAAACCCATCTTATCCATGTTTCCTAATATATCCATTAAGTGTGTATAAGGGGGGAAAAAATCAGAATTATATATATTCTGTTTCACATTCTTAGATACCTTTTTGGAAGCAGTTTGCTCAATTTGGACTATAGAATTTGTGATTCGATGATCCAGAATGTAATATTTATCAATTATTATATTGTTTCAATATTTGGCCATGCATGTTCCAAGGCCAAAATTTCCAGATAAATACAAAAGCTGAAGACTCAGCTTTAATTCCCCAATAATGTCATTTTAATACATTTGCCTGGTGATATTTATCAGCAATATACTCTGTTTACTATACTGTAGTATAGAAATAGTATACAATTAATGGAAAACATTAGGAGTTTATTGGGTTTTCATAATTTTGCATAGACAAATGCTTCTCAGAAAAAAATGAAATAGCAAATGCTCTAACAAATGAGATTGGCGTCTATGGAAAATCCAAAAGCAAACCCTCCAAACGAGTATGTCCTAATTCAGTTCTGCATCTCTACCCAGCCTGGTGTTTCCATTCAGTTTGAAACTGGAAACGTAAGCAAGGTCTGTCTTGCTGAGTTCTTGGGTGGAAGACCACCATGGACCAGCCAGAGCAAACATCCCTGAAGGTGATAATTGATAAGTCTTTTTTAGTGAAGAAAACTACAGGGACTTATTCAGGGGGCCAACAGGGTATGAGGTCGACTCAAGAGTATCTTTACCTTTTTTATATATCTGTGTATACAGTAGAGGT